AGAAATACTCCTTACATATAATCTAATTTTTAACATTACCATCCCAGAGCTGTCATAACAAGTAATCAGCTCCTCTTTTCTAATCCAAGCAGGTAGATGAGGAGAATGGTTTTGGTTCTTGTAGTTCAGGGAAGGGAAGTTTGCTATCCATACTGCTTACCCTCACCTTTCAGTGGGGAGTTGAACAACAAAACCAGGACAAACAGGTAAGTTATTATTTAGTGAGTCTGTTACCCAGAGTCCAGCAGAAGCCAAATTCATTACAGGTGGTTCAAATGAAGAGACCTGATAAAGAGACCCCATTGGGATGTTGTCCCAGCAGGGACTTATAGCTTCCTTTAGGGCTAAGGGGCCAGTAGAGGAGATCTCAGAGCCCAGAGGAAGCTGGAGCCCCAACCCTGGGGTGGGGGACTTGGCCATTGCAAATAAGTGGCACCAAATCAGGATGGGTGAAAGGAGAGAGTCAGCTCCCCCTCCACCCTGCCCACACCGCCTGCCTTCTGACTTCCTGCTAGAGCAGAAGCATCTAGGAAGAGACCTGGGATGCTGGATCCATGGACTAGCCTGGAAGGCAGCAACAGAGGGAAATGGAGATCCAGGGACAGCAAACCGAAACCAGTCTGGCCGTGTATGGTCACCTGAGAATGTTACAGGAAGAGTGACAGAAGGCAGGTCACTCAGGAAGGCTGCCAGGCACTGGTCATCAGCGTGCCCTGCATGTGTGGCAGGGATCAGTCCTGAGCTCCAAACTGCCAACTGTCATGACCACTGGCCATCACTAGTCATAGAACTTAACACACCAAGTTTATGTATATGAAAATTAGATGGTAAGCTGGGACATTTTAAAAAGTGACTGTAAAAAGAAACATCTCAATTCAACCAAAGAATTCCTCCTTGCACGCTCGCGTATGTGTGTATCTGCCTCTGTGAGTGTGTCTGTGTGTGTACGTCTCTATCTCTGCAAGTACCTGCCCTGTGAGTGCGAATGTGTGTGTGTGTGTGTGTGTGTGTACACCTGTGTGTGCATGCGTGTGTGTATGTGTGTTCTGTATAGTGCCTTACACAGGCCTGGAACCAGCAAGCACTCAGATGTAATGTATTGATGTTTTTATTATTCTATCTGTCATTTTGTTCGTCTTGCTTCAGTTGACAGAATCTGCTTCTGTGTGGGTTTCCCGTCATGTTGCCCACAGGATGAAACCCCTAGAAAATTCTGATCTGATATAGAGATTCAGTTTATGCTGCAGCACAGGGATCCAGCAGCCATGTGGTAACGTGATGTCTGACCAAAGGTTTGCAGGCATAAAGTTCTCTCATAATCATTACACAAATCCTCTACAGAACTAGAAATTAGTACCTATGTTTTAAGAAAAAGAATCTGAGGCTAGAAGATACAGAACTCAGATTTTCTGACTCAAAAATGTCTCACAGTCTGACTCCTTCCTTTTTCATCATTTATGGTGCTTAATGTAACATTAAGTTTCACGGTAACTTTTAGAGTCCTCAGAGTTAATTGAGACATTAGGACTAATCAAGTGCCTTCAGGAGCTCACATCACAAGCAGCTTCCCTGGCTTGTTTTATCTCAAAGCGTAAAGCTGCTTGAGATCTTGGCCAGAGATAGTATGTCTTTGCCTTATCAAAAAAGACACAGTCTGAGAACATCCAGGTCCCTGCCATGGAGTTATGCTGAAGTCACTCAACCCCTAAGGACTGCCTACTAATCCTGGGGACCGACACTAACAGAGACCTCTTCCCTCTGTCACTTCATAGAACTACAGGTTCCAAGCTGGAACCCTGCACCACATCTCCTGGGTAAAGTGCCCTTCCTGACTTTACACCCTCAGAAGGAAAGAACGGGACAGCCTCTCTCCTCCCTGTTGCTCATTCAGAGGATGCGTGAGACCTGAGGAGAGGGACAAGATGAGGAAATAAAGGATTGTCCAAGCTGCTGAGAGCATGAAATCGTGTTGTGTTTCATGCCTGCCAATCAATCTAGGAAATGACACTGAGAAGAGCAGTAGAAATGGGGATCTTTGCCATAGGTGATACTGGGTATTTCCTGGGGTCTAGCCTCATCACCAGGAAGAAAGACAAAAAGGGAATATGGAGAGTGGACATGGAACCATCTTTTAAGAACCATCTTTTAGGGCTGGGGGAGTAGCTTAGGGTAGAGTGCTTGCCTGGTATTCATAAGGCCTTGGTTTTGATTCCCAGTACTGCAATATATAATCTTTTCAGTTGGGTATGGTGATGGACGCCTGTAATCCCAGCACTAGGGAATTTAAGGCAAAAAGATTAGCATGCGTTTGGGGTCAGCCTGGGCTACAGAGTCAGATCCTGTCTCAAAACAACAACAAATGAACAACTCAAAAGTCCTTATTCTCCTCATACAGGCCCTTACAGAAGTAGCGGGTGAGGCCTGCAGCTACAGGAGATCGGATGTGGCAAAGCCATTCAGCTAACTGCTCAGGGAGGAAGTGGGGCAGGGTGGTTTTGTGTAGAGTTTGGAGCCACGCAAGCCTGTCCCAGACTCATAGTTCTGCATCTCACCTGCTGTATAGCTCAGGCTTGTCTCGTTAACGTGCTGAGACTCGGTTCACTCGTGTGAACCACTTCTAGACCACGTATCATGATAATGGCATACGGGAGCTTAGCCCAGCGCCCAGGTATCTGAACCACTCAACGTACTTTAGCTATCAAGATGGTTTCGGTTGTCTTATCCCTGGCTTTGTTGTATCAGAGTTGACTACTCCGTTGCCCCATTCAGCTAGGATGAATAAAACAAGGCAGAACAGCATTGCTATAACAGATGTGTGTGTCCCTTCCCCTTACACTGCTTTCCTCAAGTCTGATAGTCGTGATGATGGCATTGAGAGAGAATGTGTCAGAAAGGTGGAGCCTTCACAGATGGGATGAAGGCTCTTAGGAGAATTCACCCCCCCGCTCCACATAGGGACAGGGCAAAAAGACATCAACTAGACGAGGAAGAGGTCCCTCTGTAGAGCCTGACTGCGCTGGCCCCTGACCCCAGAATTCCCAGCCTCCAGAATTGTGCTAAGTTCACGCCATGTTCTGTTGTAGTGAATAAAGAAGAACAAATAAATTGACCATTTAAATCCACTTTTCCATGTAAACATGAATGTATTTAATCTTGCCACTTGAAATAATAAAGGAGAAACATACAAACAAAAGCACCATAAGTATTGACGGGGAAGAATCACATGTCTTCATGTAGACGTGTAAAACTGAACATACAGTCCTGTGAAGTACGCCCTTTTTTCCACAAAGTCCTCCTTATCTCTTCCACGTCTCCTCGGGTCTGCTTCCCTCTCCTAACTGCTTTGAGGCCCAGTTTCGGCCTTTCTCTCTCCAGCCAAATTTGACACAACCTCATAGTTCCTTCCCTGTGCTAGGCCCTGGGGACACAGAGCTAATCAGGAGGTAGCCCTGCCTTGGGGACACAGAGCTTAGTAGGAAAGACCGCCCCTGACTGGCTAAGTTCCGACCAGCTGCCTGCCGGGAAGGCTTCACACATAAATTCCTGCCCTCCAGTGTGAGAGCAGACCCCCCTGAGTCCTTACTCCAGTAAAGGCAACGTCATTAGCATCCTCTCTGGCCACCCTTTCTCTTCCTCCCTCCATCTTTCCCACTTTTAGATGCTCCCCAAGCCCCACCATTTTTCGATAGAAAGAAAGAAAACTATTAGGGAACAACTAATTTAGTGTGTGGCAATTCGTTTCTTCAGTGTGTTTTAAAAGATTGCAAAGATTAATCTCGAAACTGTGCTTGTTGTTAAAGACCTTTGGTAAGCCAGGCATGGTAGCTCACACCTATCATCACAGCATTGGAGAGGCTGGGACAGGAGGATCGCTGCAAGCTTGAAGCCATCCTGGGCTACAGTGTGAGAACAAAACAAAAAGTTTCAATTCCCCAAACACACACGCCAAAAGAAAAATCAATACAAAAACCTCTGTGTGTTGAAGAAGAAAATCAGAGGGCATAAGGGACATGGAGGATATAGCCTCTGTCTCCTCCCCTGCCTGGACAGTTCTTCAGCATTCCAACCTTCATGCCGATGGGACCATGAACTAAAGACAAGCGCTCTCAAGTCAAGAGAGGCAGGTGGCCCAGAGGCAAGGACCAGCCTCAGAACCAGAGGGCTGAGAGAGTAGCTGAAAGCAAACCTACCAGTCCTATGCTATGGGGGTAACTCCTCTACCCAAGACCCAGGTCCCAGGCTTCTGACTGGGTGTGGAAGAGAGAGGCAGAGAAGGCAGCGTGGGGATCGTTAGATGATATGTTTACCAGATTGTAACCACAAAGAACCAGGAAGAGAACCAATGTAATAAACTGATCTGCTTATACCAGCATAATCCTCAGTAGGGATGCTCCTTTGGGCTCCTCGCCCTTCGTGGTGACAACCACACAACCCCTTAACAGTTCTGGGCTCCAAGAAAGATGGCTCAAGTGGGTCCTAGCTATTAGCCTGGGATGGTAAGTGACAATCTGGGAGTAGAAGAGGCGGGAGATACAAGCTTTCAGACAATTAGAAAGGAGGGTTGTGTGGCTGCACATGGCCCTATTCATTTAGTATTTCACTGGTAACTCTTTGCTATTTGAGTAATTACTACAGGCTTTTTCATTATCAAAACTTGGGACTTGTGATGTTTTTCAAAGTGATTATCTATTCATGAAACAGTAAAAGCTATAAATCCTGCCTTTCCCCTTGTCCCTATGTACACATACATGCATACATAGTTGGCTTTTTAATTATCTTAATTCAGTCCTAGAATTAATAAATGATGGGGTCATGCCTAGTTTAGAATTCAAATGAGAACAACATTGTCAGATTAATTATCGTTCAGAACATTTGCCTGTCCTCTTCTTCCAAGACCTGTAACCAATCACAAAGCCCCCATCAAGAGATGCAGGCAAGGAGAAGGGTCCCCAAGCTCCGCTGATGTTTCTTTGCACAGTGTGACTCTCTGGCAGAAAGATTTTTGTTTTTCTTCTCTGTCTTACTGAGTGAGAAAGGAATACTTGGTGTGTTATTGGAGCTCTCTGAGTGACAGGTAATATCGTAAATAAGAATTTTTTTTTGTATTTACATAGAAAACCTAATAACTGTTCAATTTCATTTGGTGGTGTTAAAATACCTTACAGCCTGAAGCTGTATTTTATACACAACTCTGAGTAATAGGGAAATGAAAAACGAGTTGCAGGGACAGATTTATGGTCATTTGAAAGTGTGGTTATCCAGAGAAACACAGCACGCAAGGCGTTTCAACCAAATTAGATTCAGGAGAAAATAGTAGCACTACAGACATATGGTTGAGCCCCACAAAGTTATTCCCCTCATTCAGCAGCTTGCCTTTTCAAAGACTTCCCAAGCATGAAAACAAAAGCTGTAGAGTTGATTATTATTTAAATAAAAATGTGAGTTTAAATATGGCATACTTGGGAAATTCACTCCATTGTCTAAGTTAGGATGCTTGTTTTAGTTTTTTATTGAAGATGGACTATTCATAAAGCTTCCCAAGGAATCTCTTGGGCTGTGCTGGGCAAAGAATGTATCTGTAGAGCACAGTTAGTGGAGGCAGCAGGGCCCGACCTCCCCGGTAACTCTATCCAGAAAGAAAGGCTGTTCAAATGTGCCGAGAAAGAGCATCAGCCCCTTGCTTGCCGCCTTCCACTCTCCCATTAGTCTCTGAGGTATGTTCGTGAATATTGGGCGCAGGACCTTGGGGTTTAGAAGATCTTGCACTCATTGATGGAGAAGAACTTCCTTCTGTTTCGTCTCCTGGCCTGGTTGACAGCCGTCCGGACTGCACATTCAAATACCTGCTGTACTCCCCGGTTGCTAAGGGCTGAGCACTCCAGGTAGCCCTTGGCTCGCACATCCTGGGCAAGTCTCTTCCCTTCTATGGCATTGATGCAGGAGGCCCTGTGGGGTCCTGACTCTCTCTGGTCAGTCTGTGTGGCCACAACCAACACTGGGGTGCAGGGTAGATTGCTCCTGATCTCACTAATCCATTTGTTCTTCAGATTCAGGAATGAGCTGTGATTGGCCACAGAGTAACACATGAGTACCACATCTGCCTGCTGGTAGGACAGGGGGCGGATGCTTCTGAAGGCGTCGTTGCCCGCAGTGTCCCAGAGGCCCAGGCTGATCTGGATGCCGTCCATGAAGACATCCACGCCAGTATTCTCATACACCGTGGGCTTGTAAGCCTCCGGGAAGGTCTCGGAGGTGAAGCGTACCAGTAGCGAGGTCTTCCCCACGGCACTGTCCCCTACCAACACGCATTTGATAGAGCTCAGCATCTTCTCTGTCTGAAGTCCTACTTCCCAGCCCAGGATGCTAAGGGAAAGAACCCTCAATGAGCTGTGGCAGCAGACTCCATCTCATGGGAAGACAGCAACCAGGGTTTATGTTCTCAGAATCTTGGACATCAATTATAGATGTTACTTCTGCCGGCCCCGGGGAAAGGCAGCAACTCCTTGAGAAAACCTCTGAAGCTTGGTTGTTAACTGGAACAGAAAGAGAATGGGGAAACTGAAGTTTTTCTTTCTGATGACAAGGAGCCTCTTCATTGCCAAAGTAATTAAAAGTGAGGATCCCACCCCAGAGTAGCCATTCAACCCTACTCATCCAGTCCCATTCCCACCTTTGACAAAATAAGATAAAGCTTATTATTATCCAACATTTAGCACCTATAACATCTCCTGGCCAAGAGACAGGAGTAGCTTGTCCTTAAATATCAGCCCTTGAATGATGGGTATAGTGGTGCCCATCTCTAATCCCAGGAACCAAGAGGCTGAGGCAGGAAGATCCTAAGTTAAAGGCCAGCTCAAGCTATATAGCAAGAGATTCTATTGAGAGAGAAGCTGGGAGAAGGGGGGAGAAGGGAGTGGAGGGGAGGGAGGGAGGGAGGGAGGGGAGGAGAGGCAAGGAGAAGAGAGGAGAAGAGAATCAGTTGTGATGATAACACAGCTCTGGTCACCACATGAAAAAGGATTCAGTTGGGGCTGGAGAGATGGCTCAGTGGTTAAGAGCATTGCCTGCTCTTCCAAAGGTCCTGAGTTCAATTCCCAGCAACCACATGGTGGCTCACAACCATCTGTAAAGAGGTCTGGCACCCTCTTCTGGCCTTCAGGCATATAGACAGAATATTGTATACATAATAAATAAATAAATATTTAAAAAAAAAAGAAAAAGAAAAAGGATTCAGTTGCTCACCTGGTGTGTAAATGACACTTGTGAACCGGCTCTTGACTTGGCCAAGAATCAGGAAGGCAGGAAAGGCAGCTGGGCGTGTGTGGCCTCAGGCTCTAGTAGGTCCCAGCCACTTTGGAGAACTGCAAGGAAGAGAAATTAATGAGGGATGGATACCGTATATAATTTCCTTCCCTTGTTGGCAATCGTCCAGTCTTTGGTTTATGCAGGAATTTGAGTTGAAGCAGGAAAAATCACTGGAAGACTGACAGTTGGCTGTGGTTTCTTCCTTGCGATGCTTTGGTAAGGTTGGTTAGATGGGGAAGACCCTCCGTGGAGTTCTCTGCAGCTGCAAGCACACCCCTACAGGGCAGGGGGTGTCTCTTGACGTGTTGTTTAAACTCTAAGTCTTGGTTTACACACCTATAGAGCTGTGATGAGTTTAGAGACGTGGAGATTAAGCTTGTCAACCATTTGGAACCATCAGCCCTAATTAAACAAAACAACTTGCTCAAAAACAAGTACGCTCCCCACCAACTTTTAAACGGGACTGCACAAATACGGCAGGACCTGAATTTTTTACAGGGTTAGATGGATTCTCACTTGTCTGTGGGTCAGAGAGCTCCAAGCAAAGAGAGCTGTCTTGCGTGCAGCTATAATTCTCTCAAGGCCAGCCCACTTCAGGCGAGCCAAAGGTCCTTCCAGTCTTCAGAATCCAGAGTAAAGATTGTCAACGCAATTGGCCTTATTAACATCCCTGCTAGCAATCATCCTGACATACCACACTTAAAGCACACCCAAGGCAGGCCTCTGTAAGAGGAAATTGCCCTTCTAAATCCTAAGGAATCCTCCAAAGACTTTTTTAACATCCATGTCAGCTCGCGGTGTCTGTTTAGATGCGACAGCCTCTGCGAATGAGTTAGATAAACAACACACGAGTTTTAGGAATTCCTTTTCTCTGAACACGTAAGCTAAGTGACCTTGGCCAAGTTACTCAACCCATCCGGATCTTGAACGGTCTGGGGGCCATCAGGGTCTCTGTCTTCACACTGAAAATGCTCAACCTTGACTGTCCCTGGCATAGTGGCTGCAATGCCATGTGTCCACCAGACTCTCTCAAGATGGCCTGGACACCCATTTGCCACCAGTTCTTTCACAAAAGGGCTCCACAATGCCCCAGGTGGACTTTATCCCCTTAGATTCATAGACGACCTAAACATGAATTTGTGACTTTGCTTACAGCCAACACCTCCTTATTTGTTTATGCCAGTGTAGCAGGACAGAATTAGCAAAATGGCATGTGTGTCAGATTTGTGAGTTATTGCAGTGACATATTTCTAACAGCTTTATTGTCAGAGTTCCTGAGCGCATAGCTATGAAAAGACATCCCTGCCGTGTCACGATAAGAGGGGATAAAAGGGCGGGCAGACTTAGAATGGCCCCTGGAGTACCTCATTAGCTACATGTACAATCACATTTAAAGAGTTTCTTAACTCCACAATGCCTCGGTTTCCTCCTGGTAAAAACTGATGTAATAATATCTGCCTCCCATAGTTGCTGAGAGTACCCTGTGGGTTTAAATCCTTCGCCTGATACATCACATGAACACACCATATGTAAGCACTGAACTATGCACTCATTATCAGTAACATTGTTGGGAAATACCACTAAATATAATTGCAAGCAATTACTCCTTCACATGAGGAATTTGAAGCATCACCTAAGAGATCTCTCTGGCGAAGAGTGGACTGTGTATCTTATTCCCAGAAATAAAACCAAAAAACAAGACAGAAGTTTCTTCTTATAGCACAAAGTTAAAATAGTACATAAAGGAAGAAATGCTGAGATGTGGCCCTGTAGGGCTCAGAAAATGCCAGACAGTAGAAAAGGGCTCTGTGCGGAGTGAAGTGACTTTCCCACACAGCCCATCATGACTGAGCGACACATGGGTTCAGCTCTCAGAGCCGTGGTTCCCCACGCTGTAAGCAGTTAGGCATGTTGAGCTTGCCTAGTGGCCCCACTAGAATGCAGCCAAAGGAAAACCTTTATTGCTGATCCGGTAGACAAGAACTAAAGCCCCGCACGATTCTGTAAGGTGGAGTGACAGGCCAGGCCTTTAGTAGATGGCCATATATGGAGCTGGTGGAGAGGCAGAAGATGCAGCAACTCCCTATATAGACATGATCTTCAGTCTCTGAGGCGTGTCTCATCCACCCTCAGGACAGCCACTATGGCCCACATGGGCAGCACGGAGTCTGGTGGGCTTTCAGTGGTTTCTCCTAAAGGACATTCTCCCTTATACTGCTTGTGGGTGGAAAACAAAAGCGAGTTTTCAGCAGCATGTCACGAGTGGCTAGCTGGCCAGGCGTCCTCTGAGATGCTCTAAGGAATACCGGTGAGGGACCTTGACGCTGCTTCTCTGTGGCTTCAGATTAGAATGAATGAGCCTCCGGTCCCGGTATGTCAGAGTCTCATCTCCGTGGCCTGGTTTTCCTTTGTTCTCTTCCAACTGTTTCTAAAAAAAGAGGGGGAGGGCACCTTCTGCAGGACTCCACAGTTCAGACACAGAGTCACATGGAAGAGCGCAACCATGCCACAAAAGAAAAGATGCTGGTCCTTCGGTCTACTCTGACAAAGGAACAAAGGGAGGCAGGGAGAGGACTTGGGACCTGAGCTATCCTAATCCTCTTCCTCTGAGGTCAGACACGTAGGGCCTCAACTCTCACCTTGAGCAGACAGACTTTCTTTCTCGCTAGGTCCCCTTTTATAGACAAATTCAGCGATTCTCTAGCAGCTAAAATCCTGCCCCTCATTCACGCCAAAGCGCCGCCCGTTCTCAAAAGCGTTCCTTGACTCCCGTGCCCTATCTCCCGTCGCCATGCCTATGGACTACCTCAGATGCCCTTCTCTGTCTCCGTAATTCCCCCTGTATTTACTCGATGCCAAAAGCAGCACACAGCCGAAACAGCTAGACCCATTCGTCAAACCAGAACCAGATCGCATCTTCACAGGGTGTTTGTGAGAACCGGATTTGGATGAAATTGTGGCAGCTGATTCCTTGCTGCACTGAGAAATGCTTTCTCGTAGAGAACCGCTCTCATGTGTGCCCTGGAAAGGAGAGTCCCTCCAGAACACGTCATAGGAGAGAACAAACATCAAATTATAACTATGTGGATGGCTTTTAAGTAGAGATGGCTTTGGTGGTTTGTCAAAAACGTTGCCCTTCTAGGCACAGTCCTAGCACTGTGAGACTGAGGCAGGAGGACTGCTATGAGTTCCAGGCTAGCATGGGCTACAGAGTAAAACCTTGTGCTTCCCCCCCAGCCCCCCAAAAGAAACACCCGCAGCAGTTCAACAGTTCAGAAATTCAGTGAGAATCACCATAAGCAGTTCCCTTCGCTTGCTGGGTGATCACCAGTGCTTGGCTTCTGTGGGAATTTGCGTGAAAGCAGAAAGCACTGGAACGCTGGTCCCATTTGCTCTGGCTTCTCTCTTGAAATTCTTTTTTAAGGTTGGTCACTAATGGGGGAACCCCCTGTGCAGTTCTACAGCCGAAGGCAGGCTCCGTTACCTACGCTGAAGTATGGACCTTTCAATGTGTTGTTTGAACGTGTCAAGGTGCTGGCTGTTCTTGGGGCCTGTGATTGCAGGTGGATCTGTTTCCTTCATTTTGCTTATGTGAATTTAGCAATACGTTCACTAAAAAGGCATGCTTTACTTGTGCAATTTATTTACTCCCTCTCTGTGTGTGTGTGTGTGTGTGTGGTGCTGGCATTAAACCCTAGGGCCTTGCACTTATGAGGTAAACACCCACAGAGCTATGCCCCCGCCCCACCTCCCCCTACCTGCAGTCTCTGCAACTCTGAAGAAGTTATTTTGTTTGTGTGTTTTGTTTCTTCAGTTTGGGCTCTGAAAGGAAGATCAAGACTGAGCTGGACCCTCGAAACAAGCAAACTTTCTGGGCTGAGGGTGTAGGGTGCTGGCAGGTGGCTCCCCTAGCATGTGTGAGTCTCTGCATTTAATTCCCACCACCCCCAAAAATGAGTTTATAAGAGGTGCATTAGTGTCTTTGATTTAAAAACCAATCTAGCTCTGGGCAGCTAGACTCGCTTACGTGTTCTGGAAGCGCTCACTCTGATTTCTGGTTCCTTCCTATGTCAGTTTTATTCTCTGCTTTTGGAAGAAGGCTTAGGAAGCCGGGCAGCCGCCTCCAGTTACAGACACCATGGTTAATCGGTCATCTTCCACTGAGCCCTTCCTCCTTCTAGCTTACACAAGAGTTAGGGGTTTGGATTTTTTTTTCTTTCGGGGGGGGTGTTTTGTTTTGTGTGTGTATGTTTTAGATATTCAAAGACACTGGAATACCACCTGCTTATTAAATGCCATTAAGAAACTATCTCTGATTTTGTACAGTGACAATTGGTTTTTTGTTTCATTACACAAGTTGACTGAGATGAAAATAAAAACTCTGAAATATTGCAAATCCTGAAGCATGTTTGTTTGTTTGTTTGTTTACATTTATTTACTTGAGGGAGGCAGGATGCATGTCATCTCATGTTTATGGAGGTCAGAGGAAAACGCATCCAAGCTGAATCTCTGCTTCCACCTTGCAGGTCACAGAGAATGAACTCATCAGGCTTGGCTGCAAGCGCCTTACCCCAACTGAGCCATCTCAACAGCCCTGAATTTGAAACTTTTGAGTACTAACATAATCTTAAACTTAAGATTACACTCCAAGGAAATTTGCTTCGTGCACAAAATTACTTAAAATACCATGTATTAGTACCTTCTGCGATGTGTATGAATTGTATATAAAATATTCATGATTTAGACTTATGAGTTCCATTACGGACATATATCATTATGTAGATACAAATATGCCAGTCTAAAATATATGAAATTTAAAAATATTTCTGTCTCAAGCAATTTAGGCAGGGGATCCTTCGTGCACACGTGAACACATACTTCGCTTGTACAGGTCTATGTTCTCATCTGATAGAAAGTGCGACCCTTTTATAAGTAAAATAGATACAAATATTTATCTCTCTCCAGGAACCAGTGACGATAAGTGAGGAGAGGGTAATGTGCGAAAGATCGGGAAGCTGCTGATAAAGCCGCGTGGCGGGTGTGTGGGAGAATACAA